GGAGGATAACTTCGGGTTTCGTAAAAAGGATCCCACAAGGTAAAAGGATCAAAAGAGCTCATTTTTGCTGTCAAAGTTAAAGCATTCATCAAAGTGATCATAATTCCAAGTTTATAAACAAAATTTTTTACAAAATTTAAGATATATGGACATATAATAAATATTTTATAAACTAAAGGGAAGAAGGATAAAGGCCCGGCATAAAGCCTAATCTTTACTTTTTGCAATTCTTTTTTCTTTTGGGTTCTTGTTGCCTTACCAGAATTTTTAAACTCTATAAAAATATTCATTGCACAATAAATTAAGAAAAAAAATGTGTATTATTTTAAACGATAAAAATTATATCATTTTATAAATGTAAAAAAATATGACCCACACCTTTATTTATTTTTTTCAGTGAAAATCACATCTTTTTTGTTTATAAAATAACATAACTTGTATCATTAAAATAATATACATTTTTTCAATGGAATATCATGGTCAAATAAAAAAAGACTTTGATTTTCTTATGTTGTATAAAAATATAATTCTCATATTGTGATTTAATTAATGGTGGACTTTATACTTATTAAAAAAATAAAAAATAAAAAATAAAAACTTTATATACAAATCAAAGGATTACAATATGAAAAAAATATTTTCAATGAACATAAAAAAGTGTTTTTCCCAATAAAAAATGGTGCAGAAAAGAACGATGGTCTCTCTCTCCGAAAAAACGGCATTTGTATAGCATTCCAAGACGAATCATGACAGTTTAGCACTCCCGGTTCCTTTGATGGGTTTAGGCTTTTTGGACCTACCAAGCTATGATGAAATTGAGGGCCCGTTTGTTAGCAAGAATTTTTTTGTTTTTCTGGAATTTTTTAGTTGGGTAAATAAGAATGCATCGTTTGGTATATGTTTTTTAAGAATTTTTTTCGAGAATCTGATGTTTTAGGGATTTTTTTTTTTGTGTAAATTTTTTTAAAAAAACCATCAGGGATACCATTCAGGATATGGTATTTTAGGATTTCTATGACAAGGGAAAATTTAATACAACTAAACACAGCATCAAAAAAATTAATCCAATATTTCCGGAAATATGTTAGTCTACCAAACAATTTTTTGGTAACATTCCTAACAAATTTATTTTCTTATCATATTCCTAAAAATTGTGATTCCGTAAAAAAAAAATTCTCTGTACGAAATGCCCCCTGAAGCTAAAAACTGAAGGAGGACCTGCTCTGCTCTTCATATCCCACTCTCAATCCCGGCCTCATGTTCTCCTTGTTATTCTATATAATACACGGGAATCGTTCCTCGGTGTTAATATTTTATATAACATGACTATATAAATTTTTTATATTTATGATAATTAAACCCTATTTATTTATGCATACAAAGAAAAAAATAAACATAAAAATTTTATATAACCAAATCATATAAAAAATAATTTAGTACATAAACCATGTGAATTTCTAACCTGCTCCGTAGTACAATGACATCTTGTTTCTTTTATCACAACAACACTAACGCCACTCGCACTCAATTTCAATTAGTACCCTCTTGACTTTATCTATCTCGTTTCGTAGCTTCCTACTAATAATAATAAATCATGTTGACAAAACTCCAATACGCTGAAATTAAAACAATAGTCGTTTTCTTTTATTCTTCTCGTTGTGAAAGAAAAGAACTGGACAAACGAATCCAATCCCATGCGTCTTTTCTAGCCGCCTAGGGATGTCTTAAACTTTGGATGCCAAGCAGTGAACGCTAATGCTTAGGTGGGGAGGGAGCAAACTTTTGCTTATTTATTTTTATATTTTTCTCCTTCAAATTTTCTTCATTTAATAAACGAGTATATCAGGTTTGGTATACCCGTAATATTAAAAATGTATAACCCATATTGTACCTTGTAGATATTGGGTGTAAATTGTGTGATTACGAGGGAATGTATTGGATTAAAATTTTAAAAGACTATTCAGAATTGGAGAAACTTTAAAAAAATAATTTACAATCAATATTTCATAAGATTGGATTTTAAAGGATTTTAATAAAATTTATAAGATTTGAAAGGACAATATGAATTTATAAGATTTTAAAAAATCATATGAATTTTTAACAAACATTAAAAATTACAAGAGTCAATAAAAAAGTTAACAAAGAAATGCAATGATATTAATAAAAAAAAAAGTAAAACGTAATATAATTTTCTCAATTAATAAAATTCATGATAAATTTTCGTTTGAAATTTTTTGCAATTGATCTTGTAAACCTTGGAGTTTTTGTTCTACGTGATGAGAGTTTTCTAACAATATATCATTTGCGTATTTTCATTGAGTATTCCAAGAAAATTTTGAATCTGAATTTCTGGATTTTATTACATGAAAGTTTAGAAAATTTCTCAAATTGTTTTCAATCAATACATTGAAATCTTAAATTGCTTTGGAGGTTTCGAAAAAAAAAAATTTAATGATCTATTGACACAGAAATTGTTTGAAATCGTTTCCTGTAGCAAAGGAATTTCGTTCATGAATATATTATTATGAAACATAGGATTCATATTATGCAAGTTTCAATTTTTTTTTAAATCGATCTTGTTTCATTGATGTAAAATGAAATTTGGTTTGAGAAATTTTTGTTCCCATGTTGTTTTCTCACTATTTTATGTTGTTTTTAATATAAAAATCACATATTTTCTACCAAGAAAAATCATGAACAATAGCTTGAAAAAACGTTTTTAAACTTTCAAAAATTGCTTCAAAATCTGTTATTTTTGAGATGAATTATATTAAAATCTTGTTGTGTTGTTGTTTCTGAGTTGTTTTGTGATAAAAATGGCTCAAAAATCTGTTATTTTTGAGTTTTGACAAAGCTCCTATGACGGAACTCAGTTTTGAGTGGGACGACCCACCAAAGGAAGAAGAAGATACTGCACTAGAAAAATTTCAAGAAATCCTAGGAGTTAATGGGAGATTGTGATAGAGACATCCTATTTATATTTCTTACTACAAAGTCTCGCGAAATCCACACAAATAAAAAATCCATTAAAATTGTAAGATTTTTGAAAATCACAAGATTGTTTTTTTTTTTTTGTTTAAAATATTGATTGAATACCAACGGATTCGGACGGACCCTAAAATAATCTTTTAAAATCCTAATCGAATATCACATGACTTTTTTTCAATCCTTTACAATCTTAATCGAATACCAATAGATTTTTTTACTAAAAAATAATCCATTAAAATCCTTTAAAATCTCAATCCAATACACCCTTAAGATGTAAATTTTAACTCAAGTCAAATTACAAGCACTCATACACCCTTACCATTGACCATTCCATAAAAATAACTAAAGTCAAAGGATGTCACACTCATATAAAAATAAGTGGAATTCACAAAAAAAATTCCTCTCTTATCTTTACAACGGAATCCCCTTATTTTTATACTAGTGTGGAGAAATATTTTTCCGAAGTTAGTAACCCCGCTTTATATTCACTTATGAGTTGTCCAATTATGGGCCATCATTATCTCAATTTGCATAACTTAAGTGGCGTTCTTCTTCTTTTTTTGTGGAAATATGTTAACTGGCGTTCTCGTAGAAAGAGGAGGAGGAGAATTTTCTAAACGAGATCCAGCGTAAACTTCAAAAGCTGTATATTTTTTTGGGTTTTATAAAAGTTATAGTGTAAGAAAAGTGATTGTGTAATGTTATAGAGATTCGTTTTGAGAGGCGTAATTTTCTTTTTTTCTTTTTTCTTCAAAAAGTATGAGTCCCACAAAATATTGTGTGTGTAGAAAAATTTGTTGTGTCATGTCGAATGACAAATGCAAACCCCATTTTTTTTATGGCGTAAAAAAAGTAAATAATAAAAAAAAAAAATTAATCGATAATACATGTTCTACTTTAAACACAATATAATGGAGTCATCTAACGGGGAAAAACTCATCTACAGTAAGAAAGGTAACATGCTTCGCAAGGAAACTGATAGAGACGTCTTCTCTTGCTAGAGATAAAACCTCCCTGCTGTTGGACGTTTTGTTTGGTATTCGAAGTCCTTCTGATTTTGACAACTTAACTCGCCCAAAGCTTTCGTCTTCATAAATGTTCTCTCCTACAAGAGCTAGGACCTCTAATCCTATGTCCAAATCGAGTGCTCTTCCTTATTTAATATAATTTAAGAAGAGGAAAGCAACCCACCGTTTTGAGTCCCTATGGGTCTTCCTTTCTTTTTCTTCATTACATTTTAAATATAAAAAAGAAGAGCCATCATTTACACTTTCATTTTCTTCTTCTTCTTTTTTCCTATTAGAATTTTTATTCAAAAAACGATTGTAGGAACCTGCTTACAGCAATATTTATGCTAAAGGACTAAATATTTTTACATAACGAAATTAGCTTATTGTTTGATCATTTAACACACAGTTACTGCATGTCCGATGATCAATTTTTCCTTTTTCTAATTTTCCTCTACCTTCACACATTCCCTTGCAAAGGGGATTTCCCACGCACCCTCTACATGATAACAGGTGACATTGCATATTGTTTTATGCAGTAATTTTGAAGTTGCGTTCAACCTAAGTTCATAACCAGGGCCTACAACCCTTCAATATTGTGATTGCCCTTTGCCACTGAACCTTTATTTCTTGATGAACATTATGATAATGGGTCACCACCAGTAACTTTCCAAAGGCACAAATAACACCCCGCCGCTAGGTGGAGCCCCAATTATTGAGAATCCAAAACACTGTACGCCCCCATCATGCAATAATAAACGCTACATGTACACGTACAGAGTTCTAGCACTTGGGGAGTCTGTCTCAGTTCATAGTTTTAGAATTGTTTAAAAAAATATTATTTGTAGGAAAAAAAAAAGATTCTTTGAATCTTTTACCCTTGATTTAAGGAATATCAGAATGGCTAGAACTGTGAATCAAGATTATTGATGTGGTTAGTACACGGATCTGGATCAAGAATTCAAGATTATTAGATGCAAGCGATGTGAAGCAGCGATTGTAGTAGAGAATCTTAAACAGGATATGATAATTTTAAACAGTTTCCAAATGAAATAAGCAGGACATCCTCGTGCCACCTTATCATTTTTATCGTCATTATCACTCTCGAATCTATAATTATCCCTCGGTCTCCCTACAAAGACAATAACTTGCACAAGTTTGACCAGGGAGACCAGGCTCAATTATGGCTAAAATGATGTGGGACTCTACCGTATATAAACTAAAAATCACAAAGAATGGGATCTGCATTGCCAGGAGAAGGATTACTCAGCTGTACTAGCTTGTGTTTCGGAATCTACTGCTACAGATGACAGATGACAGATGACCGCCATGATCAATCATCACAAAATTTGAGGATGTGGATCAGAAGGAAAATGTGAAACAAGAAAACGGTGTATCATTTCAAAGCTGGTGAATGTGATCACAGCAGCTGGTGTTGTCCTCAGAAGGTTCGTGGCACACCCTCGGTAAAAACCAGGTACACCTTCTTGTTGAAAAACCTTTCTAATACAGTCAATCACACCAGAGTACCTTTTCTCTGAGTGGAGCCCTTGTTCTTGCAGTCTGGAACGTACAACCTGCAAGCAAAATACCAAAATATTTGTTACATTTTAATACTTGTCTGCCCAACAAAATGATAAGTAATAATGAATTCATGAATCCCACCCCAATTAATGGGTATATGGCTTTCTAAGTTGACAATGAAATAAAAAGAGTAAGCTCAAAATATTCAAGAAATAGCTAAATACAGTGAAAATAATATTATTCTAGGATGCTTTAAACATTGAAAATGGACTCTATACCATCTTTCGGTCAAATGATTGGCAAGGTCATTTCATTCACAAGACAAGGCAACTAGAAGTATGATACCTAAGTTTGTGCAGATATCTTGAACTACACTAAGTCAATCAGTCAGCAACATACCTCATGAGGATATGTCAATGTGGATGCAAAAATTTTGGAGACTGATGAGGCAATTGCAACATCACGTGCACCAAGTTTATCCATTGCTGCGTCATCTGATACAAAACAGTGACTGCACTAATTAACTGCCAAAACTCACAAGAGTTCACAGAGAACTAGGACAGGCATGAAATTACCTTGATTAGCCAAATAAAATTTTATTGTCTCATACGTTGGAAATTGGATGGCAACATGACTGATACCAGCCAGGGCAGGTACAAGGCCACTGTTTATGGCAAAGAAAGTAAAAAATGTCGTTAAATTATTAAATATTATATATAACTACATACCATCCTGTTGCATTTATGATAATCAACACAAACCTGTACAGCCCCCGAATGCCCTCCTCATGGGCAATTCTCCTCAATGCAGATAGCGTGCTCCTATATGGCACAACACCAGGTCTCATTCCCTGGGTCTACATTAAAAAAGGCAGCAAACTTTTAGTGCAGAGTACCCACGCACACGCACACACATGCACTGATCACAAGCAAGGTCAAAGAAGCCCTGTAGTTCTATTGTTTCAACACAATATATATGCAAGAAGAAGCTCATAAACCCTTGCTCCTAAATGGATAAAAAGATCTGCCCCAGGCAAAAACATCAAAACTAGATGTTTCATGTGCTTGTTCTTTTCCTGATCCACTAAATAGAGGTTTTGTCATCTTGCATAGATATCATACAGAAAGCCAACAAACAATGTAAAACTTAGAAGGCCTTCATTGCCTTCTCATTTGATTACCACGATTCTAGGAATTCTATGCCAGAAAGAAAATAAAACTCTAAAGTATCGAATTCCATGACACTAATGGTAAATGAGACAATCAAAATAGTTTTATAACCTCTAATAAAGTACAGTATATCACGAAGGATTTAATTAACTCATGCATTATGCCAATTATATGTGATAGGCTGATAGCATAATCAATTAGATCATAATAACATTCAGCATGAACTGAAGATACATACTTGGAGTCTAGTCTTCACAACCCAAAGTGGATTTGTAAACAGGGTAGTTGCAGCCCCAGCACCAGAAGCAGCTATCATATTAGCTCCAATTGAAAGATGATGACTTTCATCTGCATACATACCATAGCTATTACAATTCGTACATCTACATTTTTTGGGGGAGGTGGAGGGCACATCAACTTTGAAAAAACAAAAGACAATTCCTTGTTTGGTTGAATAGGAAAGTAATCAGCAATGGACAAACCATCAGAATGAAGAAGGCTCTTGAGCTGCTCATACATGGTAAAATAAACCTACAAGATTACAATACAAATTGATACAATTAGAGTACTTACTAGAAGAATAGTATTCTTCTTTAAAAATAATGTAGACAGGCTAAATATATAGATTTCTACAGCCCAGTAAAATAAATTATCCAATAGTAAGCTAAATTGATTAAGCAACGAGAAAACCTAAAGGTATAAGTTTAAAGATCAAATCATCTTATTAGTTTGGCTTTAAAAGTAATATTAGAGCTCAATTCATCGTAATACTCATAGCTCTGCGCTGTGTCATAACAATAAAAAATTATTAGGGTTAGTATGTGGTCAATCAGTTTCACTTTAGTTAAGAATCTAAGATGATATTGTTTTAGTCCAGGGTATTTTAGCAATTTCAGTTGGTGTCTTAAAGTCTAGTATTTAGTCTCCACGCTGTGCGCTATTCCTTTATTTGCCGAAATTTGTTTATCCACTTTGTTTGTTAGTAGCAAGTTATTTTAGGTTTAGCTTGGGTATTAAGTTGTGAACAATTTGGTCCACAAGTTGTGAATGGTCCTATACTCCTATTTAAGTTATGTCCACAACAATCGAAGGTTCCATTATTCTAAGCCAATAATTCTTCCCCTTACTTTAGTCCGATATATTCAGTCTTAATCCTACCTAGTCTAAAACCTTAAAATCCTAAAGCACATCTCCATGTGATGAAAGGTTAACTGATTATGAAAATTGCAACCAAAAGTAACTCCCCCTTTGCTAAATACTTTATGGAGGCCAAGAGTTTTGGAGGGATGAAGGGTATGGTGTTATGGAGAGAGCTACATTTGCAATGATACAATGTGTCTTGTTGGAGAGAAATGCAATAAGTTCTAGGTAAAGTTTTATTCCATTGAAAACCTCTGTAGTATGATTATTGGCATCCATACAGTGCTCAGAAAATGAAGCACTCTGAAGAATTTCTTGAATGACAGTGGAAGATATTCAAGGATTTTATTATTTTGGTATACTCTTCGTTTTCATTTTGTTTTTCCTTATTATACGATATAATTAGATAATTTTCCTTGTCTTCTATCATCATACCTTCAGTTCTTCTTGAATAAAATTATAATTTAACACAAAAACACAGTCTATTTCTCATCCTGTTAGCAGAGAGCATTCAAGTAACTTGAACACCCTGAGCCAGCCATAGAAAATAATAGTTGGTACTTGGTTGGGTTATGATCAACCGCACAGCCATCTAGTCCTCTAGCGTATTTCGAGAAAAAACAAGTGAAACCCAATCTTTGTCAAGAAATCATAAAATGCTCATAATCTTAACACAGAAAGGAAGTATGAAAGTTACTCATAAATTACTTCATACTCTCAGAGAGACAACACCAACCCATGGACTACAAACAAATATCTTTAATACAACAGTTTCGTATATGTCAACCTTCCACAAGAGCGAGGTAGGTATATATATATTTCATTCCCAATATGAAGCCAAAAATTGAGAAGGTTAGACATATTGGACGTGAGAATTATACATTGGTGAAGACTCTATTTGTTGTTTACTTCATTAAGAAAATAATGGATACAAAGAAACATTGAGAATGAGCAAGGACTCACCGCCCAGTTTGGAAGTAAAGCCAGCGCAGTGGGAGCCAGCCCACGGTACATGCCGCGTAACCCCTCCTTGTGTAATATTTGTTCCAGACTAGCAACTATTATACTGCGTGCTGACCAAAAAAAACACCCAATCCGCAAAAAAATACAGTATTCAGTTTCAGTATTCTCAATGTTGTTTTATCCTTTTTCATATAATATTAATAACCTCAAATCTGAAAACAATGATTTAAACTCTCAAAGTAAAAGGCTAAACAACGAGTCTTTTGTATGACCTACATGGCAACTCTTCGTTGTATTGTTTTCTCCCCCAAAGTTAAAATTAAATAACCAAATAAATAAATACAAGTAGCATAAGGCAGCTTCTACCTTTAACATTTCCATTAGCGAGCTGCGGTACCCCATGAACTTGAAGCCTAGTTTTGATGACATCTAAAGGACACACAAACGCAGCAGCAATAACTCCTGCATCAAATTAAATAAATAGATGAAACAAACGGACAAACACCGTGTTCGTGTATATACATAAATCAGACAACCAATCCAATTGAATAGAAAAATAAAAAAGAAAATTTAATAAAGAAAATTGATAGAGTAGAGAAGAAAGGGGAGGATACCGGCGGCTGCACCGGCGGCAGCATTGCAGAAGAGACCCTTGGGATTGATATTAGGGGCGGCGTGGGTATCGGAGGACATGGTTGGTGAAATCGAGAAGAGAGAAGGAGATAGTAGCGAAAGTGAATAAGGAGTCCTCTCTGGAGAGGGCGATGGCGGAGGAGCAGAGTCGCATGGCCTGAGAGAGGGAGAAACAGAGTCTCGTTACGATCGAGACCAAGCTTTCAGATTAGATTAGGGTTCAATCAGATCCAAGAACATGAACAAGAACATGAGGAACGCGCAAGTCAAAAACGCCACACTCGTTCCTTGCCTCAAAGCTTCGTTTAATTCTCCGTCACAAAACCACAAATATTAGTCACCTCTCTTTCTTTCATTCACCTCTCGTTATAGTGGGTCCCGCCTTTAAAGTAATAGAATGTTTATCATTGTCCTTAATTCTCTCCTGCTTTTTTTTTTTTTTTCCTTAAAAATTTAAAATGGGAAATATACATTGTTCTCTTTTGTTTACGGGAAAGGATATTGTGACAATCAAGTTATGTTACTACCAAGTGATTACCAATTAATCTTACCGTTAGATCGATTTTATTGATCCAGCGGTTATATTTATTTTTATCTTTGTATGGTTATGATTCCCCAAATTTAATATTTTATATTTATTTTTACCTTTGTATGGTTATGATTTCTCATATTTAATGTTTTCACTTTAAATATGGAGAATCGTGACCATACAAATATGAAAATAAATATAACCGTTAAATCAACATAATCGATGTAACGGTGAGATTGATTAATAGTCACTTGGTAGTAACACAACTTGATCGTCACAATATCCTTCCCCATTATTTATTTTTAAGATAGGTATGTTCTATTTAAGATAAGTATTTGAAATCGGGAAACAGATTCAGTTTTTATCTTTTTATTTGGATTTACTTCTTTACTTCTTGGACCTTCTGGAAGTTTTTTACCTGATTTTTTTTTTTTAAATACTTCCTTTTTTTTATATTTTCTTATTTTTCTAAATCAGGCTGATTTAGTTTTGTATTATGAAATCGGTTTCTCAAAAATCGACTTTACAAAGTTCTATTTTTTTTCATTTAAAAATTCACTTTTCCTTTTGGTAGATAAAAACTTGCTTTAATAATTATAGAAAATGTTAGGAAGTTATTTGTAAGAAATCAACTTTTCAACAGGGAAAACCAATAAAATGGTTAGAAAATCAGTTTAAGGAAAATCAACTTCCTAATAGAATAAATAAAACATAAAAAAGTTAATTTAATAAAAGGGAAAAGTTATTTCTCACGTTATTGGAAATAAAATTATCTTCAGTGAGTTCAAAACGACATCATTTTGAGATATAAGATTAAAAATTTATAATGATAAAGACTAATATAACTTTGCAATATCTTAGAATTATAATAACAAATTAATTTTTATTCTAAAACGACGTTATTTTGAGCTCACCAGAAATAACTTACCTGATGGAGAAATCTTTTACCCTTAATAAAAACCAACTTTCAATATAAATAAAAAGATCTTATTTTATTTTCAAAAAAGGCTTATATTTAAAATAATGAGAAAAGAGTAGTATATTTTTTAAACTTATCTTCCTTTAAAGATCAGACGGAACAACATATGTTGTAGACATAAATTACGAATTTTGTGCATGATCTGATCTGTTTGACTTTAATTACAGAAATAAAATAGATAAGGTTAATCCCAACCAATTTTGTTTTTCAGTTAATCTCTTTTTAATGAGAATATAATTAATGTGGATTTTTCTTATGCTTGAACAGATTTTTAATATTATTTTTCGTATCTTTGAAGTTCCTACATTTAAAAACTATTATTCTCGATAATTTTTTAAAATTTTGTTTAAATACTACAATGCATAAATTCCAAACTCATAATAGTCAATCTAAAACAGATAGCAGAATTAGGGCTGGCAATATGGGCCAGCCCGCCCCGGCCCGCCACTAGCCCGCCCAAAATGGGCTGGCCCGCCCCGGCCCGTTTTGATAAAATGGGTTGAATTGAGTAACCCGGCCCGTTTTATGAGTGGGCTGGCGGGCTACGGGCCAGCCCGCCTAAAATAAAAAATATATAAAAATAAAATACAAAAAATTAAATTCTGCATAAAATCACATAAAAAAATCTGCATAAAAGCATACAAAAATCTGTATAAAATCCTAATGTGCTTATGAAACCAAGAAGATCAGTGTTTAATAATCTGCATATAAATATGCATCTTTCAATCCAAAAATAATAATAAAAAAATAAAATCATATCAGGATAAAATAGAATAACAAAACAAGTAACAAAGTGTTGTATGAGCAGTCCACAACAATTCAAAAAAGCCACTTGCAAGCAGAGAAATCTAAGATACGGAGCTACATAACAATTGGGTAACCTAAAAAAAAAAAAAAAATGACTTGGTGGGCTGACCCATATGGGCTGGCGGGTTTGGCGGGGCGGGTTTGGCGGGCTGGTGGGTTGAAAGACTCAACCCAGCCCGCCCCATTTGGCAGGCGGGGCGGGCCAGCCCGGCGGGCTCAGCTCATTTTGCCGGCCCTAAGCAGAATTAGTCCTCTTTTAGAGTACTATTAAGTCAAATTTAACCTTCTCCGGGCACCATGCCCTTGAGGTACGGCTCATTTGGGCTAGTCCTTCATTGTAAGGGATCTGAACCCTGTTCTTTTAAGGAGGCAATGAAGAGTAAGGAATGGATGGATGCCATGAGTACTGAAATACGTGCTCTTGAGGAAAATAAAACTTGGCGTATTACCGACTTGCCGTTTGGAAAACATGCACTTCCATGTAAGTGGGTCTATAAGATCAAGTACCATTCTAATGGCAGTATTGAGAGGTATAAGGCACGGCTAGTTATTGCTGGGAATCGTCAAATTCCAGGTGAGGATTTCACTGAAACTTTCGCTCCTGTAGCAAAAATGGTGAGCGTTAGAACTCTCTTGGTTGTTGTTGTCGCAAAAGGGTGGGAGCTTCATCAAATGGATGTACACAATGCATTCCTTAATGGTGATCTTGACGAGGAAGTCTATATGCGACTTCCGCCAGGCTTTGATACCATAATAAACACTTCCGCAAAATTGAAACTCTGAGTGAGTGCCTTACGTCAAGTGCGAAAGCTTGGTCAGTTGAGAATGGCTAAGGAGGGAAGTAGCAAAACAAAAATAATCTCGGATCATGGCTCTCCTTTCTATCTGGGAGGGTCTGATAATCCCGGGATTTTGTTGACAACAGTGATGCTAAAAGGTGAAGCCAATTACGAGAATTGGGCTAAGCTCATGAAAAACGCACTCAAGGCCAAAAACAAATTGGGGTTCATTACAGGGTCTGTGAAGACGCCAGAAAAGAATGACACTGAAGAGTGGAATGCATGGGAGATGTGTAACTCAATGATTAATGGTTGGATACACAACACTATTGATCCTACGCTCCAGCCATTCATCATGTGTTTTGATAATGTCAAGGACCTCTGGGACGACTTAAAAGAGCGTTACTCAGTTGCAAATGCTCCAAGAGTATATCAGCTTAAAGCAAGTTTGTCTGCAATTAAACAACAAGGTAGCAGTGTGGGAGCGTATCACACAAAAATGCGAGCCGTATGGGACGAGCTTGAAGGGAGTAAAGTGTACAAGTCTTGTACTTGTGGAGATACATGCGCATATGCAAAAGAAGTAGAGGAAGAGAAGGAAAACGATAGAGTATACCAGTTTCTTATGGGACTCGATGAAGCCACATTCGGGCACCTACGCACACAGATATTGAATACCACACCACTCCCATCACTGAACAAGATTTATGCCATTGTTACACAGGAGGAAACACATCGTTCCATAATTCGTACACAAAATGAAAGAGCTGATGTCATAGGTTGTGCTGCACAAACTGTAGCACCTACAGGGATGGAGAAGTTCGCTGAGCGTGTACCTTGCCGCCATTGTGGAAAGACTAACCATGAATCATCTAAATGTTGGCAAACTTTTGGCTATCCCAATCGTGGAGGTGGCAGGGGGCGAGGACGTGGGCGCTTTGCAGGAGGACGAAGTCATCCAAACTCTAACAACTTTCACACTGCACAGAATAGTGCAAATGCTGCAACAACTAAGGAGTCACAGGAACATGTTGCTGCCTTTTCTGCTCTAACTCCAGAAGTTGTGACAGACGTGGTGACGCGCTTGCTTTCATTGGTGGATAAACCTCATCCTCCTGCTGAAAAATTATCTGGTAACGTTGTTTCTTATGATTGGCTCATTGATAGTGGTGCGTCTCGTCACATGACTGGCTCACTTGAACTGTTGGAGAATGTTAAAAATATTGAATCACTTGCAGTAGGGCTACCTAATGGAGCTGTAACACATGCCATAAAGAAAGGAACTGTTGCACTCAATCCACATTTTCTTTTATCTGATGTATTATTTGTACCCAATCTGAGATGCAATCTGATCTCTGTGTCTCAATTGGTGCAACAACAAGAAGAAGATGTGTTGTTTACTAATGAGAATTGTGTTTTGCAGGACCGCAAGCTGAAGATGGTGATTGGGTTGGGTGATCTCAAAGACGGAGTGTATGTGTTTCGGCAGAACCAAACAGCAGCGTTTGCAGTTCGATCCCATGAATCTCTAGAGCTATGGCATAAACGGATGGGTCATGCCTCTCTTGAAGCTGTTTCAATGATTCCTTTTGTTGCAAAATTTAAATTTGATAGTGTAGATAATAAGGCCTGTGATGTGTGCTGTCGGGCCAAGCAAACTAGAACTATGTTTTCTGTCAGTAATCATCATAGCAATGATTGTTTTGAACTTCTTCATTGTGATATATGGGGACCTTATCGTACTTCTTCTCATTCTGGTGCTCATTATTTTTTAACGATAGTTGATGATTTTAGCCGTTCAGTGTGGGTTTGTCTAATGAGCGAGAAGAGTGAAACTTATGAGAAAATGCGCAGGTTCCTTCTTATGGTGCACAATCAATTTGGTAAATCAGTAAAAATCATTCGTTCAGACAATGGAACTGAGTTTAAGTCTAAAAATATGCTTGAGCTTTTCCGTGAGAAAGGTATTCTCCATCAGACTTCGTGTGTGTATACTCCACAACAAAATGGGAGAGTCGAACGCAAACATAGACATATATTGAATGTGTCACGAGCTTTGTTGTTCCAAGCTCATATGCCAATCGAATTTTGGGGAGAAAGTGTATTAACTGCAGCACACCTCATCAACAGAACGCCCTCTAAGGTCCTTGGTGGAAAGACTCCACATGAGCTCATTCATGGCAATGCAGCCAACTATAGCAATTTAAAAGTATTTG